GCCACGAAGGACACACCCGACCCATCCTTCAAATTCGGGGAAATGAAGGATGCATTTGTCGGCTGCATTCAGAGGAGTCTATGAATTTGGACAGCCTTCGGCGCGTCGCTGTGACGTAATCGGTCTACAAATGCGTCCTCAGGAGGATGCAGCCCATGAATTTGGACGCGACCTGTGTATTTACCCTCATTCATGCTGTGTTTTCTGGCTGTCTGCGTAAGTTGATTTGGAAGTTTGCTACTTTTTGAGTTCAGCATTAAAGCTGTATTTAAGTTCACCTTTGGTTTCCGTGAGTCTGCATTTTGGGTCCTTTTCCTGCCTGCACACAGCCTTCACATCTGAGCGCTTGGTATTTCTCCAGCTTCTCGTGTTCCTTCTTCCTGATGTTGCTGTCATTGGGAACCGCTACATCGATCACTACGGCCGTCTTCTTCATCTCTGCCGCTGCTAGGAAGCCCTTTTGGATGCGAGCTGCCACATTCACAAACCTATAGAAGTCCAGGTGTTTTCTACTTCATGCGGATTTTCTGTCAAACTTATTTTGCTGCTGAAAGTTTTGGAAAATGTTTATTTTTTAATAAAAATAGTTTTCAGCATGTTGTCGATGGGACTGCAGTTTTGTTTTTTCGAACAGGAAGATCAAACATCCAAATAAACAATCAAACATGTCGCTGACAAACTGATGATTGTAACCACGGAGGATGCTGGGGTCCACTTTAAATACTTCATCTTTATTTGTTTATATATAAATGTATCTGCAAATATGCTCATTCATACAATCGTGTTTTTATTCTGTCACTTTTGTGTCTTTTTTATGCAAACAAACAGGATTTAGAGGAAAACTATAAACAGCACAATCAAAAATGTATCGCAAGTCAAATAAATCTGTGATTAAACTGTGGATCCAAATCCGCTCCTGGATCCTGAATATGAACAGATGCAAACGTTTGCACAGTGACGGTTCTGCTGTAATAGAAATCTTTCAGCTGACGTTTCACAGTTCAGCCAACAACACTTGTGATTTGGAGAAAAAATGAAAGCTCCAGGCCGCTGACCCCGTCCATCAACATGTTTATTCTGTAACACAGTGCTTGTTTGCACTCAACTACAAACACTTATGTTGTTTGTTTGCACAATAAGGACACAAAATAACTTCATATTGTCTTTAAAAACATCTTTTTATTACAAATATAAACATCTTTTCTAAAGTATGGCTTAATCAGCAGTTCCATCAAAAAACGTCTTTACGTATAATAAAAATGTCACCACGTAGTGAAATCTTCCAGGCGTTTGTCTGCAAACTTTCTGAAATGGTTCAGGAAAGAAGCTCTGTGATTGGTCCACCTGCTCCCATGAGGAGCCATGTTCACTGAGGACGGAGCTGAGGGGCTTGTCTCGACACCTGTCACCAGCTGCAACATGAAAAACATCACATCAAACATCAAACTGTGCAAATTCAAAGAAAACCAAACGCCTTGTAACGTGTGGTGGAGATGAAGCCAGCCGTGGAGGTGTGCAGGTGGATCGTCAACGAGCCACGACTTTCCACAAGTACTCGCTTGTTTGAAATATTACAAATAAAACAACCAGCTCTGCCACACCTTACTCCAGAGCGCACTAGTGCACCTACACACGGAGGATCCATATCAGAGATGGTTCAACGAAGAAGAAGAAAAAGGGGGCGACCTACCAGCCATGACACAAGAGGCGCCACCATGTGGTAATACACTGTATTACAACAGCCACAACAGCAACTGTTACAGCCTGAATGTTTGCTTCCATCCATTCATGCTGTGACAACAGAAGCTGATTGGTCAGCAGCTTTCATCTACTTAGACTGAAAGTTGTGCATTTCCATGTTTAAGCACATATTATATTTTGACAAATCAACTATATTAAAGATTACACACATGTGACCGAAAAGAGCAAAGTCAGCCCAAACAAATCTGGATACTTAAATAATTTGCATATAATTACCGAAACAAGCTTTGGATAAATATATTTCCTGTGGTCAGCCCGTTAAACAAAGACGCTCCAGTGGAAGCTGAAAACTAGTAGAAAATCTGACATTTCTATGATTTTCATTTATTCATGAACTAAAAGGAACAAAAGACTCCACATGGAAGCAGAGGAGGGGAAACCTTTCCTCCTGACAGCAGACAAACTTTCATTCAGCAACTTTTATCTGATTGAATCATTGGAAAGGCCAGACTCACTCTCACCACAGACACACTTCCAACTTTTTAGCAAGTTGTTGTAACATTTGGATTCATTATTAAAACTAAAACTCTGTTAATACTGAACTCGTTGGGCCTCCGTGAAGTCTTTGTTTTTAAGACTCCAACAGCAAAAAGTTTCAGGTTTAACTGAACTGGGATCAGACCTGAGCCGCATTTATAGTTCTTACTGAGGAAACTTCAGCTTTAACGCTGCATGTTATGAAGAGTTTGGTTCTCCTAATGTTTAAATGGTGTGTGTGTGTGTGTGTGTGTGTGTGTGTGTGTGTGTGTGTGTGTGTGTGTTGGCTCACAGTGTGTGTTGCAGCTGCTGCAGGACCAACAGGATCACCAGAGTCCAGAGCAGCGTCCTGATTTCCTGCAGACAGTAAACACATCATCAGCTTGTTAAATGGTTAAATAGTCTTCATCATCATCTTCAGTGGGTCATAAGTGACATTTGACAACATATTTATTGTTTTTGTTAGAAAGTTTGACCATGAAGCTTGTTAGTTGTTTTGTTATTACTAGTTTACTGTGATTATATGTTAAATAACTGTGGGGAATAAATAATTTTTCAGTGCCTCAATAATCTATGCTTTTTTATTAATAAGTGTTATAAAGTTATATAGTGTAGTAGTGGACACAGCCCTGAAAATAAAGGCATGAGACCATGTGTCCTTGGGGAGTAGAGAGCTGCAGACTCTCGCTCTCGCCTGGGAAAAAGTAGATAAGAGGGGAGCATCTCTGGTGGAAAGTTACTGCGACACTGTTGTTTAGACTAGAATGAGAGAGCTTCTGTAATAAAGGGGCACACCAGCATTTTGAGATCTGCAGCAACGTGTCGTGCAGGACGCATCTCCCTTCTAGAAGTAATAAAGTGTTGAATGGTCTACGGAGCAGTGTGCTGTCTTCCATCGGCTGCCTCTGAGGAATCAGAAGAACTCGTGAAGTGTTGATATTTATAGAACTGAGAGGAGTAGAATTGTTGACTCTTCATATGTATCACTGTAGGGTCGACCTTACAGTAAAAAGCACCTCGAGGTGACTGTTGTGGTTTAAAACGGAATCTCTTGTTTTTAATGTTCATTTATAACATAACTACAACCGTTTGTTCTACTGAGTGTGGACTGAGACTGGTGCACCAGTTAGTGACATGTTGTCACTGTTTCTGTTTGGTGTTGTTGTGCTAATAAAGCTTCATCCTGTGGTTGTGTATGAAACACAGGAGCAGAGATCTCTGTCTCCTCTGTTTGTGCCACACGGTGATGCTTCTGCTCTGAATAATGAAGAGTTGTGATTCTCGTTGTTCCAGATGGAGGTCTGCAGCGATCTGATGTCATATCCCGTTAAGACCACTAGGTGGCACTTTTGGTTTGTTTCCAATAAATAGAAGTTTATTGTATTTTTCACATCGCTGCTGTTTTTGAGGTTGTATTTAAATGATCTATGTTTGTTATGTTTATTTCTTCTTTGCTGATTGTTGTCTGTAATTGTTTTACTGTTTGTGTTTGCGCAGTCACTCGTGATGCTCTTTGAAGGACTTTTGTTAAAGCTGCTGTATGAATAACGTTGATTTTAATGTTTTTACTGATCCAGACAAATCAGAGCACAGATCACAGACTGTGGACCTTGTAGGAGGGGAGAGGGCACAGCTCACCCACTGGACATTGGACGTCAGGTCTATATTGGGTCTGCCGGTCCATGACCAATTCTGGACATGTATAGGACGTCCAACAGTGACCCAACCTGGACACTTATTTGGACATTGTGGAGAGGTGCAGGAAATGTACATGATTAATAAATGCAATATTTTTTAATTTACAAATGTCAACATTGTCGTTATCAACATGACATGAATATGGATAACTAGTCTTAGCCTGTTGATTCATTCATGTGGATCATTTTTGGTTATTTTACATTATACTGATTTTCTTTAAATGTTTTATTTATTTTAGTTAATCAGCTTATTTGTTTGTAACCAGGTTCAAATTGTCATTCATTAAAATATGTGTTTCATACGTTTAAAAGAGCATTTGCATTATATAAGGTTCATTTTTAAGTATCCTGTTTTATTGTGAAAAGCCTTGTCAGAGGGCGTGAATGGTGCTGTGATGGTCGCCTGCTCTGAGAGACGTATGAGAAGTTTGTTCATCAACTGGACCATCTGCTCAGAAAACTGTCTGCAGATCACGGTGGATTGCATACATGTAGCAGCGTTATGAAAACGATGTCTAAAAGGTGTCTCCGTTTTTAAAAGACTTGTACAACAACCAAATTTGGACTATTTGGAGCGCGTACACAGAGGTCCTCCCGACAACAGCAGACAGAGGACGTCAAACAAAACAGACGTCGCCTGGCGTCACAAAACAACCCGTCAGTGGACCAAAGATGGAGGTCCTCAAATGACATATAAAGACGCACTTTGTGCAGCGGGCAGCCTAATGATGAACAAAAATCCTTCTACAGGCTTGCCACTTAACAACCATCCTGGATACTTTTCTAAACTCTAGCATTAGCTTTGATGAACATGAAAGGTGCGTTTATAGAAACATCAGCAAATTTGAAAAAAGGTTTGTTGGCTCTAAATAAAGTTTTGGAAGTTGAACTTTTATCACCATCTTTGGATGAATCCTGGCAGAGATTTAAATTCAGCACCGTCAGAAAGTTTAAACTTTTCGATTCTGTTTTATTTACACAGAGCTAAATCACAGTAACAGTCGCCTCGAGGCTCTTTGTACTGGAAGGCACAGAGCAAACGCCAACAATCATATGACCTCCTACGAGCAAGCGCTTTGGCTACAGTGAGAAGGAAAAACTCCCTTTTAACAGGAAGAAATACAGACATGCAGTGGAAGAGAAACATATTTTTAAAAATAGTTTAATTCATAAACTGGGAGTTAAGTGAAACCGTGTGTGGTTTTCTGAGTTTCGACCTGAAGGTTTGGCTTTGACTCAGGGTTTGGTGAACCATGAGGCTCAGCAGAGTTCTCAGCCTGACCACAGAAACCTGACGGGGACACAGAGGCAGGATTATGAAATGTTTTTCCTCACAGAGATCAACAGCAGTTTGTGAACTCCTTTCTTCTTCTGTGGTGCAGATTTATGGCTCTTTTGTGAGTTAATGGATGCTGGAACTCAACCAAAGTGAACTTGACAAGACCAAGAACAGCAGACCTCAGATCAGCTCTATGTAATGTTTAAACATGAACAGATCCTTTGCTGTCCTGTTTCTGGTGTTTTTTTACTGCACTCGAGTTGTTTTTATTCACGGATTTGAGAAGCGTTGTGTTTGTTGGTGCCAGCAGAGATCAGACCTATTCTTTTTTACACAAAGCAGATGGGCTCAGTCTGCAGGCAGCTGCTCAGTCAGCACATCTATAAATACCAGCAGAGCTCAGCTTGGATGTGGATCAGCAGGTCCTGCAGCTCCGATCCAAACCCGGAGCTGAGGAATCATGAAGGAGCTCAGCAGAAGCTAAAGAGTTCGTTTTCCTCAGGACACGATCGATATCTCTGAACGCCGGGCTTCTCCCGGGAGGTAGATGCACGTTTGGGTCAATTGAAGGTCGGATGCACAGCCCGTCACTCATTTTCAATACTGAGACTGTCTAATCAAATCTCTCAACACAACAGGACCCTCCCCACCTTCGCTGTGCACTCACACCTTTTGTGTGGAAGAAGTGGCGAAGCTGAAAATTACGAAGGTGTATGAGAGCCACTGAAATGAGAAAAGAATGAAGCTGTTTGTTAAGCCAACATTAAAATACATAATTCATTTATACTTTTCAACTGGATTCAGCAACAGAGGAATACTTGTGATTTTGGCTCAGTAGCACCACATTATCATAAGACTTTAAAGAGATGCTGTTGTGAACTGGCTCTGTTCAGAAGAGAAACTGGATCAATAAGGATGTTTATCAAAGTCACTTTGTTTCACATCTTACAGGCAGGCCCAACAGGATGAGGGACAGATGGAGGAAGGTTCAACTAAAGCAGTGAGAAAATAGATAGAGCGACATAATCAGGAGGGGAGAGATTCTAGGATTCAGGTAAAGTGAATGGCTGCTTGACCATGAGCTACTGCTAACAGTAGCTCATGGTCAAGGGTGGCTGTAGCTCAGGCGGTAGAGCAGGTCATCTACTGATCGGAAGGTTGGTGGCTCGATTCCTGGCTTCCTCTAGTCTGCATGCCAAATATCCTTGGGCAAGATATTAACCCCAAATTGCTCTCCGATGCATCGGACTATGAATGTGTGTGAATGTTACTTAGAAAGTACTTAGAACAATGTGTGAATGCACAAGTTGTATAAAGCTTTGAGTGCTCAGAAGAGTAGAAAGAAGCGCTATATAAGAACCAGACCATTTAACAGCTAAAGTGGGACCTTTAATTGTCACAGTGCGACTAAGATGTTCCAACCCAGCAACAGCTGTACCAACCTGATTCTAATCTGCTTCAATAAACACCAAAAATGCCAATTTTCAGTCACAGTCGGGCCCCGCCTCTCAATACTCGCTCTTACCAAACATACAGGAAATGGTGCAGTGCCGTGAGCGTTGACCCCCTCTGTTGTTCTTCTTGTAATCACCATGGTTACAGCCACTTCCTCCTCTGGTCCTCCAGTGTCCTCCGTAGTTTCGTCTGGATCGAGGTAGCGTTCCACAAGTCTGTCCAGGTCCTCGCTGCTCGTATTACCTGCAAACACCAACAAACATCCATCAGCTGTGCATCACCTCTGAAAGCTAAACGACTCCCATCGTTTCACTGGAAACAGTAACAAGAATAATAACTGATGGGCTGTAGATTTGAAGTAATAAAATGTTTCATTCCATGTTCAGAGTTTGATACATTTTTCTTAGTTTTCGAGTTGATGAATCTTTTTTGTAGATTACTTGGATCGTTTCAAACATGCAAGTGTAACAAATATGCGACTGAGAACTCAGTTTATTGCATATTTGCACATGTTGTATACACTGTTGCTGATATTGTGGCCCACCATTATAGACCCTCAGCATGCCCCCACCGGGCTACCCTGTCAGGCTGCACGTGTCACACTGACAAACAGTGATGTCATTTAAACATCAGTCCATGCAGTATTAACATCAAGTTACAGCTGAAGAATGTCAGCTTTACCTTGAACAACATGTCAATAATGAAGAGTCTAAATTAATGTCTAAATATGTTCATATTTAACTGTAACTAAAGTGGCCTGGTTTGCCTCGGTGTTTTCAGACGCAGCGACCTGTGGGAGAGAAATCATTTTCTTAGTGAAGAAACTTAAGAGGGACTTACTGAAGAAGCTGTACTCAAAGGTGGAGTTGTAGTCAGAGTCGTAATCTGGAGATGATGTGAAATCATCATAATGCTGGGCCCAAGAACCTGAGAGCAAAATGCAGATGAGTGAGTGTCTGTCTCTGAGACAGCTTCAGTGTTACAGGGTGGAAGCTTCTCAGCTGAGCTTCACACTGAGACGAACGCTCTGAAAAACAAACGATCAGGAGAAAAATATTCAAAATAATCGTTTTCCACTTCAGACTGTTTCAAATTGATGTTTCTCTTTCTTTCATTTCTTTTAATTGTGAAAAAATTAAATAAAATCAAATACATATAAGTTTGATTTGATTTAAACAAATTTCTTAATGTGCTTTCTTTAGCTGTAATATGACATTGTGGTTATTTTATCCTTTTTATATCCTATTGTGTTAAGAAAGAAAATGAAGCATTTGATTTATTTATCCTGAATTTAATCTTGTGTCCTGTCACTTTGAGCTCTGTGAAGGTTTGAATCGATCTCCAGTTTCTGTTTACTTCCAATACCCCCCCGCCCCCGCCCAAACAGCAGTACAACAAACCGTCTGTGTGTCTCTCAAATCATATAAAAGTCTTACATCACATGACCAATGAAAAGCATGAGCTACAGGAACCGTTTCAACATCACAAGTTTCAGTTTGACTTGATTATGAATGGAGAAGCATTCGTCTGTCCATCACTAAGCTGCAGCTGGTAAAGCAGACCTTAAATAACCTAATGGATTCATATTCTGTATGTATTTGAAACAGGAGACTCTAAGAAATGCTCCGTGAGCTCTGGATAACTGTTAAGGTTTGTAAAAAGTGTGTCTGACTCGAGTAAATATGACTCTCTGACCCCGTGAAGCTCCGTTGAGGAGTTGTCTCATATTTTCAGAGTTTTGGATTGTTTCCATTACTCCATGCATCAAAGTTATTTCTCCACTGGCCTCCAGAAGAAACTGTGGGGAGTGTTTGTCTTCAGATGTGAGCCTCAGCATGTTTTCACAGACGTATTATTGTTATGAATCTATCTGCTCTGGAACAGCCTGGACGCCACATTCACCGCACCTTGTTTCAAGTTATTAACATTTCCAAGAGTGACCTTCTCCAGCTGTGAGCTTTACTGTAAACGTAATGTTAAATCACACAGCGGAGGTGGAGCTATGCTGTGTTGTCTAACACTGCACAGGTGTAGAACAAGTTTAACCTTCAAGGAAAACTTTACCAAATCTAACATTTTATTCAAGAAATGAGTGAAAGCTGCAGCTCTGGAGCCTGTCCCAGCTAGCACAGGGCGAGGGGCAGGGGGACACCCTGGACAGGTCCCCAGTCTGTCACAGAGAGACAACCATTCACACCTATGGGCAGTTTAGAGTTTGCAGTTAACCTAACCCCACTAACTGCATGTGTGTGGACTGTGGGAGGAAGCCGGAGTACACGGGGAGAACATGCAAACTCCACACAGAAAGACCTGATGCTGGAACTGAACTCAGGACCTTCTTGCTGTGAGGCAACAGTGCTGTCATCGTCGTGGTTTTGGTTTGAATCGGTGTCATTGCTGTCTTCAGCTAACCTTGGCTCAGTCAGGCGAGACTGGAGAAGTCACCTGGATACTGATCAGTACAATCAGCTTTCTTTCCTGGTTTGTTGAGGATGCATCAAGACATTCTGAGTGCTGACTTTTGGCTTTGACGTGAGATTCAGATGCTGCTCTGAGATTTGAACTATCATTTCCTGCTTTCTGTAACAAAGACGTGAGCCCAAAACGATGTGACTGGGTAAACTTTGGTCACCACAGGTTATAAACAGGGTGTGCTGGGGTTGTTTCTCAGACAGCAAAGTGTAATAAGCTGGAACATTCATAGTAAGACAGCTTTAAAGTTTGTCACTGTGTGAATTAAAAGTTTGCAGCTTCCATCACAGCTGAAGGATTTTGGACATTTCTTCCTGCCGTGTGACTGATGTGAAGAGACACGCCATCAAGGAGCATCCGACAACCACAAGCCTCGCACAGGACACGGCCGAGCGTCCGCAGACAGCAGAGGAAGTCTCACAGAAAAACATGTTTACCACAAAGAAGGACAAACTTCTCTTAGATCAGCACATCTGGAAAACATGGACGATTCAGGAAAACGCATGAAGAGTCGGAAACTCAAAGCAAGTCATGTGAAGGCCATCACTGTGGGAACAACATGGATATTCAGCATACAGGAAGGCTTTTAAACAGTTTTTAAAGGGATGAAATATAGATTTCTGTGGTGTTGGAAAATCTCAAAACTGAGTTTCTGTCTTGGAAAAGTCGGGAAAGTTTGGACAGATGGGAAAACAAGGCTCAGAATAAGACTGGTGGTCTGCCCAGATTTGGATGTTATTGTTAAAAGCATGGACTTCTCTACTTCACCTGAGCACTCAAAGCATTTTGCCTCATTCACGCACTCACACACATTCATGCAAGCATGTATGTATACATGAGTGCTACGGGCACCCTCACACAACCAGCAGGGGGCGCTGATTCTCCGCTCTGTGCCACTGAAGCAGGTGGATCGAGGCGCTGACAACAAGAGGACCGGTCGTGGAGGGAAAAGCGATGAGAAAAGCCTTCAGTCACATTCTGGTGGGAATCCTGGTCCCCAAGGATGCTCCTCTTCCTCCCTCACATACATCAGCTGAGCCCAGAGTTTCTCTGGGAAAAGTTTCTGCTCACTGTCTGAACACCATCACACTGATTCATGAAAGAGTCTCAGAGTCTTATCTCCACAAACACAAATAAAACTTCACTTCCTGTTCACTCTGCAGCTCGTTAAATCCCCTTTGTCACAAGTTCAGTCCTCTAACAGTGATCTGTATAAACAGCGTGTGGCTGTCACCAAAGTTTTACACATCAGAAGCTTTTTTGGGGGGAAAACAAAACCATCTGCTGTCGTCTGATGAATATCAGGCTTTTTACCAAAGTGACGCCAGGAGCCAGAAACCCAACTGTAGTTTGGATTAAGGAGAAACGTGTTTCTCGTGGAAACAAACTGTAGAAGTCGACATCTACACAGCACTTTAGTTAACGAAAACCTCGTTTGCATGCAGCTCTTCCGAACAGTAGCAAAACAACTTAACTCTTTCTGTCATGGATGTTTTCAGGTCTGGTTTTCTTTAATCGCGCTCCACTGAAACGGCTCTACTTAAAGTGTGTGATGATGTCTGAGTACACAGTGCTGGTTCTGTTGGCCTCACTTTGATACTGTAGATTACAGCATCATGATTCCTGCTGGCGTTTTAAAATAGTTCATGTCAAATTTATCTGAAAGATCTTGACTGTTTTTGTGACGTCTGCCTTGTGGGGTCCCTCAGGGATCTGTCCTGGGTCCAAGTTTTTTTTTGCTCTATATTTTCCCCCGAGGCCAAAATCATTAGGCGTTACAAAAATATCTCCAATCATCTCTATGCTGTTGACATTCACTTATACTGTTCTTTCAAAGAGTTTTATAAATTGTCTAGTTTAAGTAATTGCCTGTCAGACATCACGCCGTGGTTAAACGACGATTTCTCCAGCTAAACTCTCATAAAAGAGAAACTTTGATTACTGATAACGTGATTTCAGAAATCAGGCGGCGTGTCAGCTTCTTAGACTCTTCTGCTGAATTGAGCTTCAGACTCCTCGGTGTCATATTCAACAGTTTAATGTGGTGAGAGCGTCTCTGAGCTGTTTCTATCTCCTAAGAAATATTTCAGCCTGCTGGTGTCAGAGGCTGAACCCGAGACGATTCTTCATGCTTCCTGTTTGCATTACTGTAACTGGTTTTTAATTAATCAGCTTTGGATCGTCTTCAGACTTTGCAGAAAGCTGCGGCCAGACTTTTAACTGCCACAAACACAAGATCACACATCACTCCAGGTTTGGCTTCTCTTCATTGGTTGTCAGTAAATTTTAGGTTTCACTTTCCTGTCTTCCTTCTCTCACCCCAACCGGTCGCAGCAGATGGCCCCGCCCCTCCCTGAGCCTGGTTCTGCTGGAGGTTTCTTCCTGTTAAAAGGGAGTTTTTCCTTCCCACTGTCGCCAAAGTGCTGCTCATAGGGGGCTAATCTGATTGTTGGGTTTTTCTCTGTATCTATGAAGCGACTTTAGTTGTGATTTGGCGCTATATAAATAAAATTGAATTGAATTGAATTGAAATTGAACTTTAAAATGTTGGTTTTAACCTGTAGGATCCTACATGCTCAAGCTCCCCAGTATATCAAGCTCCCCAGTATATCAAGCTCCCCAGTATATCTGTGACCTGCTGAAACCAGCTCTAAGTGTGATTAGGCAGCGTGACTCCACTGACTCTTTTAAAAATCAGCTGAAGACATTTTTATATTGACAAGCTTTTAATTCTTTTCTGTTTTAAATTATTATATATTTTATATCCATCTCTTATTTTACTGTGAAGCACTTTGTGATTTATCTGTGAAAAACGCTTCATAAATACATTTTACTTACTTAGTTACTTAAATATAAAAACAGCTGCTGGACTGCACTTGATCCTGAAACACACGAGGACAGGATCTCAAGTCCGAAACCCTCAGCTGACCTCTGAAGGTCTGAATAGAAACTCAACATGATGCCTGCATTCTCAGAGATGTTAGTGTTCCTAATTAACACACAAATGGAAGCACAGCTGCTCTGCAGTTACAGTTTCCACCTCAGAGCTGCAGCCATCAATCTCCCAGAAACGAGTTTGAACTGGACACTTCCTGTTAGGTCTCCTTCACTGGGTTTGATAGAAAGTCTGTGGTCAACAAGAGCATTTACATATCTGTAATAGTGCCAGAAGCCCAACAGCAGGACAGGATGTGCACAATTTGGAGATTCCAGCCAGTTTGACCAAACATTTGACAGTTTGGAAAAGAAAAGCGGCGACTCTCTGTTTCAACATAGTGTTCAAGCACACTTAAGAGATCGACCCACCGGCCTCTGGATACAGAGGCAGTGTTGGGGAGTAACGGAATACATGCACCGCCGTTACGTATTTAGAATACAAAATATGAGTAACTGTATTCCGTTACAGTTACCGTTTAAAAAGGTGGTATTCAGAATACAGTTACTTTGTTGAAATAAATGGATTACACTGTGGTACTTTCCTGTTTCATCTTGTCGCGGGTCAGGACTGTTTGGGTTTTGTTTGACAGCTACGTTCTGTTGTTCCAGGCGGCA